ATTCCTATACGTTTAAAAAAAAACTATGATTATTTTTTTTTTAATTTTATAATAAAAAGTAATTAATTTCTTATTTTTTATCTTATCTCATTCATATATTATGTAACTTGAATTCAAAATCTCTTATTTAAAAAAATAAATACTAAATTACTTAATTTATTGATAAAACCAGAGTTACTAGAGGATATATTTCTTTGATTTTGAATTTGACAATATTAATATTATAATTACAAGTTACATAAAATTTAGATATAAATATAAATAAATATATATAATATTACATCTAAAATTTTAAATTAAAATATTAATTATATTTAAAATCTATAATGAAACATGACATTGAATGTGGAGGTTTTCGTTTTTAATTACTCCTTGTCGGTGTAACAGAAGAAGAGGAAAATTAATGAACTACAAATTTGTTGGATACTTTGAGAGAAAGGAGGATGAGTGAGTGGAAGGCGGCAGGAAGGAATTGGGAAACGTGTGGCGGGGGTTGGACTTTGCACTTGCAGCGGCGAAGCGTAGCTGCGGGCGGCTGCTGGTTTTGCACTCCCGGTTTAGTGCAGTACCATTGTACAAGGATAGATACCCCACCTATTTTAAAAAAAGTACTAGTAAAAAAACAGCACGGTGGGCGCCCATTGTTTTGGCTGGCAGATTCTGCTACGTTTTTACCACTTTCTATTCATTGCTTCACATGGAGTACGCGGTGCCAAGTTTAGAACGCATTGAGCGCGTGGCACGCCATCGAGCGTCCCTTTTTTCCTCTTTTTTAAATTTTTTTGGGGGGAGGCGTGCCATCTAGTAGCTGGTGGAATATTTATCACTTCGCAGGCCACTTTCTGTTCTTTCAAACGTTTAAATTATAAAATATTAATTATTTATTAATAAAAAAATATCTTAATAATAAATATTAAATTTTTTATTTAATAATTTATATTTTAACATTGCATAACAATCCCAAATGAAAGTGACAATTACTTAACAGCAAATTCAACTTGGGGTTATTTTTTATTTTTCAAATGATTTTCATTTTTTTTTGATAAATAATGATTTTCATGTTGTTGTCAACTAGGCGGTGTAACTTAAGCCCAATAAGCTTATGGGCTTACCCTCTTTTAAATTCACTATGGGTTAGACAACTCTTAATCCAATTAGCCCAAATTTCTTTTCAACTAACAAAATTTCACAATTCTGTTTTTGTAAGCACAAATTCAAAAACGCAATCAAAACTCAGAGGCAATGTCAAAACTCGGAAGCCATTGTATCACGCTTCAAAAACCAGAGTCTTAATCCTTTTTTTTTTCTTTGGCTGCTTTAGTGATTCCTTACTCAATATGTGAACATATCTTTCCATATAAGTAAAAAGAAAGTTAAGAAGCTGCTGGTGATGTATAAACAAGCTATAAAGAGAAAGTAGGATAGCATCTTGGGAATAGATGAAATTGCCTGGTAACTGATTTCCCAGCGAATTATCTTAGCTTTAATGCGGTTTCTTGTCATTCTCAATCTAAACCAAACGGCCAAGAAGGCTAGGCTGTTTTCTGTCATATTATAGTTTCATGTGGCACGGACTTTAAGCACTAAGAATCTGATAAAATTGACAGGAAACAATTTCTACGTAATAAAACAGAAAAATTGTTACCTATATAGACACTTCTCCATGGAACATCATGCAACCGGCAAGCTCCACTCGTAATTCCTTCGTTACTTACTGGATAAATTCATATGGGGAAGAAACCCTTGTATGTAATTTGTAATATAAACAGCAAAAAGAGAAAAGATGCTTGTCCAGCTTGTTCAGTCTCTGCCATTATGCATTACTCTTTTGTTTCAACTTGTTTGATGTCAAGATCGATAAAATAATGTCAATGGCAATTGCTATCATATACATGACCTGGACATTTTCCTGACCCAATGAGGGTCAACGTATGTAACTTTGTTTGTTCAGTATAAATAGACACAAGTATTTGCTTCAGAAACCATCACCCAGTACTGCTTCACCACTTTTCTTCTAAATGGGTCTGTTCTTGGTTTTCAATCTCGCTATTTTGATTTCATTCTGCTCTGTTTCCTGCGAAATAAACGTTCAAGAAACCCAAACTTTTATAATTCGTGTTCAGCATGACCTGAAACCATCTCAATTCTCTACCCTTGAAGAGTGGTACACCTCTACACTTAAGAGCCTTCAGTCCAAATATCCAATTCCTTTCCAACCAGCAAACAGTACTGACAATATTATTCATGTTTATAAAACAGTCTTCCATGGTTTTTCTGCAACCTTGACCCGAGCTCATGCTTGGGAACTGGAAACACGCCCTGAAATACTCGGTGTCTTTCCTGATAATATCAGAAAAATTCAAACCACCCGCACCCCTCACTTCCTCGGGCTAGACACTAGCAAGGCCTTTTACGGGCTTATGAATGAATCAGATTACGGTTCAGATGTCATCATTGGACTACTGGACAGCGGTATTTGGCCAGAGCATCCCAGTTTTAACGATGATGACATGGATCCCATCCCTGCTAGGTGGAAAGGAGAATGCCAGGAAGGGAAACAATTTCCCAAAACCACTTGCAACAAGAAATTGATAGGCGCACGGTACTTCAGCGCCGGTTACGAAAGGAGCATCAGTCAAGGAATTAAAAATGACGATTTTAAATCTGCCAGGGACCCCATCGGTCACGGTACCCATACAGCCTCCACGGCAGCAGGGCGTGCGGTTAAGAATGCTTCATGTCTTGGATTCGCGAGTGGCCAGGCAAAAGGAATTGCACCGAAAGCACGAATTGCGGTTTACAAGGTTTGTTGGTTTGAAGGGTGTTTAGACTCTGATATCCTTGCAGGTTTTGACAGCGCCGTTAAAGATGGTGTTGACATTTTATCAGTGTCCTTGGGCGGTATCGGTCCCTCTCCGTATTGGGACGATGTCTTGGCCATCGGAGCCTTTGGTGCGATGGAGAGAGGTGTTCTGGTATCTGCTTCTGCTGGAAATTTCGGCCCCGAATCTGAATCGGTGACAAATATTGCTCCATGGTTAACAACGGTCGGCGCTAGTACTGTAGATAGAACATTTGCCGCCGATTTATCACTTGGAGATGGTACTGTCATCATTGGATCTTCACTTTATAACGGGACAAGGTTGTCTAATTTATACCCATTGATTTACGCGGGAAATGCATCTAGTTTTGGAGTATCCACGTGCCTTCCGGGTTCACTCGATGCTGGGCGAGTACAGGGCAAAATTGTGGTCTGTGATGACGAAGACAATGGACCTGTGGAGAAGGGATTGGTGGTGAGGGATGCTGGTGGGGTCGGTGTGGTTGTTGCTAATGGGATTGGTGAGGATTTACTTGCTTATCCTTACTTGAATCCTGGCTTAGCAGTCACCATGTCAGCAAGGGAAAAAATTTTTGAATATTTGACTACTGATCCAAACCCGCAAGCAACAATGGCTTTTCGAGGAACCCAAATAGGGGTAAAGCCTGCTCCTGTGGTGGCTGCTTTTTCCTCCCGTGGTCCCAACATCCTATCAATGAATGTTTTGAAGCCCGATCTGATTGCGCCAGGTCTCAACATCTTAGCAGCATGGCCCAATAACATATCCATGTCGGATGTGTTAGAAGATCCCAGGCGCACGGAGTTTAACATAATATCTGGTACATCCATGTCCTGCCCTCACGTTTCTGGCATTGCTGCTCTTTTAAAAGGTGTCCACCGTGACTGGTCACCTGCCATGATAAAATCAGCTCTCATGACAACGGCCTATACCCACGATCATGATGGCAAGCCATTGTTGGACAACAAGGACTTAAATGTGACCGCCAACCCTTGGAGTATGGGTGCGGGCCATGTGGATCCTATGAAAGCTGTTGATCCGGGTTTGGTGTACAACATCACTGTCGATGATTACATTGACTTCCTCTGTGCATCTGGTTTGACCTCTAAGCAAATAAAGACAGTAACCAAAAGAGCAGTGGAGTGTTCCAAGGCTAAGAAATCTAACCCGTGGGATTTGAATTACCCAGCTATTTCAGTGGTTTTCAATACATCAAAGCCGTCTCATTTGGAAGTGGTGGTTACACGGACGATGACAAACGTAATTGATGCAGCTTGCAACTATACTGTGGTTGTATCTAATCCTAAAGGTGTCATTGTAACCGTTGATCCACAGCAGCTGGTATTTGGCAAGATAGGTGAGCAGAAGAGCTATGTGGTCAAGATTTCGGCTAAGAGTGTAGTGATCCAAGCTGGAAAAATGCTGAGTCGCTTTGGTCAGCTAAGTTGGAAGGATGGATCGCACAACGTCACTTCTCCAATAGTTGTGACGTGGATTTAATTCAAATAATTTATGCTATAAATAAATTCAAAATAAATATGAATTGGTCTCAAACGATTTAAATAAATTTGTTAATTAATGAAAATAATGAACTTTTCATTTAGTTTTGGACTTTTGAGGGCTCACAGTCTTGGATTAAAGGCTAAAACTAGATTAAACTAATATTACTATTTAGTCAGCCCATATAAAAGGAAGAAATCCCAAAACCTAGGGCTAACATCATCATATAAATATAAACAAGTGCCATGGATTCCTCCTCAAGATTTCTTCTAGTTGTCATGATTCCCAGAGGTCGAACTCCATGAATTGCCATTAAGCTCACCGGTTGAGTGAATGCAGGAATTAGACTCACCAAAGCCATCTTTCCATTCACAACATAATGACCAAAATCCAAATAACCATCTTTATCACTTGGAGATGGTACTCTCATCATACCTGTTGATTTACATGGTCAAGATTCGGCTAAGAGTGCTGTGATTCAAGTTGGCAAAATGTTGAGTCACTTTGGTCAGCTGGGTTGGAAGGATGGATCCCCCTAGTGTCTCTCTCCAATAGTTATGATGTGGATTTAATTCAAATAATTTGTGCTGTAAATAAATTTGAAACAAATATGAATTAATTGGTTTCAAACGATATAATAATATTTATTAACTTTTTTTTTTTCATGTGCATTACATGGATTTCTTTAGTTCTCCATATTAGAGTTTAGATTCTATACAATGTTTTATTAATTCATAAGTTTTATAAAAAAAAATTAGTCAAAAAATTATATTTAAGTGATTAAAGCTACCTTTGAGATCACATTTGATAATTGATAATAATACTTTTTTTAAAAGTGGTGCCCAGCCACATTAAAGAAAAGGGAATTTTAATAGAATTTAAAAAGTATTTAATATTAATCTTTATCATCCAAATAAATATGTTCTCCTTTTTTTTACTATTATCTTATCTTAATTAAAGATTTATATGATATTTTCCTCTCTTTTTTTTCAATTAAAGAAATAAAATTAAATAAGAATATAAATTCCTTCAAATCTTACATTACAATTGCTTTAAAATTATGATGAAACAACAAACAAAATTAAATAATACTCTTATTAATTTCTTTTCTAGTTATTTTAGTTGTGCAACTATTTTTTTATTTTATATCTACATTTTGTGATTTTATTTGTAATTATTTTTATAATAAAATTATTTTAAAGAAATTTGCTAATTAGATTAGAGAAAAAAAGTGTCAAAGTTTTTTACATTATGCCTTAGAAAAAATGTTTCGAATTCATATTGCACCAAAAATATTTTTTTTACTTTAAGGTAATTTTGTATTTTTACAACTCAAATTGCACTTTTTGTGTAGTCTAACTTGAAAATTGTGCGCTCATATTTGAAAATTGGAGTTTTAAAACTGTTTTAATTGATCAAAGTTTGAGACCATTTTAATTTTACAATATTAAATCTTGTCATTTTCATTTTATCTATATTCTTTGCAATTTTTTAGTGATTCATCCTAGGGCATAAAACATTTTTGGTTGTAATAGTTCTTATTATTTGATTGAAATTGTAAGTTTATTTATTTATTTAATTTTAAGATGCAGAATGGATTCAACTTTTTTTTCATTTATTTAATTATATTAGATTGCTTAAATCATTGATTTTGAAATCTTATTTAAATTAACTATATTAGTTCTATTTCAGTTCCTTTTTTGGCTTTTAAATAAATTACATATTGTTCGAGTTTTTTCACATATTTTTTGTATTATTAATGGTTGATGTTGTAATAAATCAATAATTATCATTTGTATCATATTGCCATTTTATTTTCAACTATAACTCATAATATGATCATTACAATTGAGATTATATTTTTTATTAAAAAAAATTTTATACATTCAAACTTCTGCTTTATATATTTGCTTGCACTTTATCTTTGAGTTAAATAATAAAACAAAATAACAAAATTAATGTTTAACTAATAATACTTGTAGTAGTATTTTATATTATATATATAAATTAATAAAAAAATAATAAGCTTTTCATTTAATTTTGGGCTTTTAAGGGCCTCACGATCTTGGATTAAAAGCCCAAAATTAGATTAAATTAGCATCACTATTTATGTCGGCCCATAAAAAAGAAGAAACAAGTACCACCCGAAATCCCAAACCCTAGGGCTAACATCCTCATATAAATCATAAAGAAGCCTCCATCTCCGCCGGGTTATCCTTTTCTGCTAAAGCAGCTGTTAAGGGGAGGAAGATGGTGTCGCTGAAGCTCCAGAAACGCCTCGCCGCGAGCGTCCTCAAGTGTGGGAGAGGAAAGGTTTGGCTCGATCCAAATGAAGTCAACGAAATCTCCATGGCTAACTCTCGTACGTTCCATCTCTGAATTCTCACTCTCGTTAGCTCTAAATCTTTTGATACACGGTCTGGAATCATGTAGTTCTAGCTCCTTTTATATGATATTGAGCTGGATTATATGCTGTTTGGATGCTTAGAAACTATCATGAATGAAATCTATAAGTTTTAGTGCGGTTGATCTCTGGTTGAGTTGAGCTCATTGAAGAACTAAATTACGTAGCCTCTGAATTTGAAGTTATGAACCTTGGTTTAATTTCCTCTAAATATGTTTATTGGATTAGAGTAATAGAATTTAGGGACTACGATTTGATTGAAAGATGTATAGTAACAATTTAGTCAGGAGTGATTTCCAAAGGAAATGGAAGTTTGGAGCTTTATTCAGCATGAGCTATATTTTTTTTTTTAGCATTTGGGAAATGAATAATCTGTGGAAAAGCAGATTCCTGGTTGCTTTGTTTGCTCTTTTTATTTTTTTTTCTCACAAATGAAATTTGAAGTATGTGCCGTTGATTGTGAACAATTTAATTTTGTTATGTGTTGTTTGACATATTTGGGCTTTCAAGTGCAGGCCAGAACATCAGGAAGCTGGTTAAGGATGGATTTATCATCAGGAAGCCAACCAAGATTCATTCCCGAGCTCGTGCACGTCGTATGAAGGAGGCAAAGAGGAAGGGACGCCACTCTGGATATGGTATCTCTTCTTTGATTAGTTTGAGATTATGAGGTTTTCTGTACTTTTGGCTAAAGTGGAATATGGTCTTGAATCTTTTGATACGATGCTGGACTAAGAATGCTAATGTTTTAACTAATATAAAATATTGCTATTGGAGTTGATGGCGTCATGATACTGAATAATTTGAAACTTTATGGTCCAAAAGCTTTGTGAGTTTTGGGTGCTGGAAGTGTGTAGATTGTTGATCTTCTAATTCTTTTTTAGGTAAGCGTAAGGGTACAAGGGAGGCAAGGCTGCCAACAAAGGTCTTGTGGATGAGAAGGATGCGTGTTCTTAGGCGCTTACTACGCAAATACAGAGAATCAAAGAAGATTGACAAGCACATGTACCATGACATGTACATGAAGGTGAAGGGTAATGTGTTTAAGAACAAGAGAGTTCTAATGGAGAGCATTCACAAGTCTAAGGCTGAGAAGGCAAGAGAGAAAACATTGTCTGACCAATTTGAAGCTAAGAGGGCAAAGAACAAGGCCAGCAGGGAAAGAAAGAATG